AAAAATTTAAAAAATATAATTCGATTCGATTTTTTTTTTCACCTCTCGATCTAAAATAGAATTTTGATTATTTTAGCCTTTTATTTTTTTTTTTTGAAAATTCAAAAATTAATCTATAAGTATATAAAATTGTAAAATTTGAGATTTAACTCAAACAATTCTTCCATTTTTTCACAAAATAATTTTTAACAAGGTTGAAATTCGAACTCTAACATTTTTCTAAATTTTTTAAAACCTTTCGATCTCTTACGTAAAAAGAAATATATAAGGAGTTGTAAACTAAAATTAGGTTTTATATATATATATATATATATAGAATTAATTGACATTTTATTAATCATTGTTGCTGATCTTACAGATGAGAAAGCTGCAAGGGAGCTCATTAATGATGATATCCCTTGGAACCACGGTTATTCTGTGCCTCCCCCGCACACATAACCTTCTTGCTGCTGAATTCATATGAATTAAGGTGTCATTTTGTGTTGGTTAAATAAAATCTGTAGTATGGAGTGAAGAAAATATGGGGAGCTTCTGCTTCCTTTCTATATTTCCCGACCCCTCTGCTTCAACATCTACCTTGTTGGTTCAGTTGCGTGCGGCACTGTAGAAATTAGGTATACACCTCCAATAATCAAGCTCATCAGAAGTTTTTGTTGTTAACAGTTTGTTATGTACTATTAGATGTTGTGATCATGTTCTAAATTAGAGGTGTTTAAATCTTGGTGGGAAGGTATTTTATACACCCTAATCAATTTATCATATGTTATTTTACTTAATAAAATTATATTAAATATAAATTTTTTAATTTATATAAAATATAATATACATAAAATTATATGTTATGATAAAATCAAATATAAATTATGATTGAAACAATAGTGACATTGACTCCTCCTAAATAGAGAAAAAAAAAAAAAAAAGAGATGAGAAATGTAAACAAGACTTGAATATCAGATATTATAATTATCTTTTGAATAAAAAATCTAAAAGGAACTTAAACTGTTGGATAAAAAATAAATATTTAAATTCTTTTAAAAAAGCACTTTACTTTATTTTATTTTATTTTTTATAATAGTTACACTCCATTTTATAACAAGCAACTAAAGAAGAAAATGAAAAAAATAATTTAACGAAAATGGGTTGGTATGTACAGTCCATTTGTTTTGGAAAATATATCTCATCTTCAATTCGTAAAGGATACAATCTTGCTCTATAAATTTGATATTTTCAAGAGAATTTTGAAGGGTTTTCATATCATGATCTTAAGATTTGTTTATAAATTGTTTGATGAAAGTATAGTTATTAAAATCGAATTGAACCACTGATTAGATCAATTGAATTAGTTTTGAAATATTGATTCTGTAATTAAATAATTTTATAATTAAATTGCTTTAAATCAATCAATAAATTAAATGATTTTTTATCAACTAATAAATTTAGACAAAATATGAAAAAAAACCTTTCAAGTATTCAAAATAATCTAATTAAGCTTTTATATTACTATTTCATCTAAATAAGTTGCTTAACTCTTATTTTTTACTATCAAAGTTCTTATATTTTTATATTAATGATATGTTGGCATATTTCAAGATATGTGGATAATGACATTGCAAAAAAATTACACATGTCTAAAAATAAACATTTAAAAAAAATGATCTAATAAAAAATTTTATTAATTGATACCATAATTAAAAAATTAAAATATAATATATAAATTAATAAAAAAAAAGTGTTAATAAAAATGATTAATTATTTGACTATGATTGAAAATAATTAATAAAAAATGTATACATGTAAAATTAATAAAAAAAAATCTACATTCATATAAAGAATATAAAAATGATTTCAATTTCCTTTGTACTAATTTTTATGTAAATATAAATATTTCTTTTTATTAATTTTATATATAGATATTTCCTTTTTATTACATACAGGTTAATTATTATATATTAATAAATAATATTTATATTTTAATAAATATAAATAATAATAATTATTATTATAATTATTTATTAGTTATTATTTATTAAAATATAAATAATATTTATAACTATTAAAATATAAAATATGACTTTAATAAAATGTTAAATAATTTCGTTTCTAATTAGTAATTAATTGTTCTATGAATTTTGTATTTTAAAATTGTAATTTATGATATACTTTAAAATTTATAGGTTTATGATTAAATTATTAAACTATAACTTAAGTTAAAAGTTTGAATTATAAATTTTTAAAATATTTATTTTTTTATAATATTTTTGATTAAATCCACAATTGACTATTGATCTAGTAATTGAACTATTAATCCAATTATCTAAAATCTTTATTAATTTAATATTCAGTCCGACTCCGATAATTATGGATGGAAGTAAATATTGAGATGTTGCTGCATCTGTCAAAGTGTCGGGCATAGTAACTCCTTTTCAAGTACCTTGGTCTTCCTCTTGGAGCTAGCTAAACCCAACTCTTTAGCTACTTGGCAATCTGTCATTGACAAGTGCAGAAACAGGTTAGCTTCATGGTAAGAATTTGTATTTTTCAATTGGTGGCAGGCTCACCCTCATAAAATCTGTCGTTGCAAGTCTTCCTCTATACTATATGTCTCTGCTTCAGATTCCTGCTAGTTAAAAGAATGAAATTGATAAAATACAAATGGAACTTTCTTTGGTCATGTTGCACTGAAAAGAATAAACTTCAAGTGATCAAGTGGGATGCTGTTATGTATTGGCAAGGATTTTGGGGGTCTTGTTATCATTGATCTCAAACTCAAAAACAGGTCGCCCCTTAACAAATGGATTTGGCAATGGCACAAAGTTATTTCTGGAAAAAAATGAATTCAACCCACCTCCTTACTACCTCATCGTTGTTCAAACAAATTATCTTTGATTTGGTCTCATATTTCTAATCTGTTTCATTCTCTTGTTTCTGCAAATATTGGTTTTTCTCTTGGTTGTAGATCCAACATTAAAGTCTGGTCTGAAGAATGGAATGAAGGTGTAATACTTTTTAGTTTCTACTCATTTTTCGTACATTACTGCTTTTGCCATTAATAAGAATGGTCCTGGAATATTTGTCTTCATAGGAGTCTCTGGGAATTGCAATAGGAAGAGTTTCTGTCCTTTTGCCCTCATTTCTTTGATCTTGACGAATTTATTTGGAAGTGTTGCTCCAGCGGTAGTTACTCTGCCAAGTCTTTCTGTCATTCTTATTACCGTCTTTCTGCTCACTCCCCAAATATTGGGAAGCAGTCTGGTAATCTGGTCTGGTCTTTTGGCAAGCTATTAATGGTAAGGTGACCTTTAAAGTTGGGCTGTTGAAAGGGGGGATTTTGGATCCTCATTGTAACAAGGAAATTGAAACTATTAATCATTTTGTTTCAACTTTTTTTATTTTTCTCTTGGAGAGTTTGGATAGTTATCACCAAATGAAGGCTCATTGTTTTTCTATCTTGCCAGCCTTTGATTCCTAATAATTATACAAAAGGAAGGTGTTTGTTACATATTTTTCTTTACTGTTTTTTATGGTATAAATGGTTTCGGCGCAACGAAAATATTGTTTAAAGGATTTTGATCTTGTGGATATCATCAAGGTCCGGTTAGCTCATTGCTGCAAAGGTAAATGGCCATCAATGGCCGCTTCTGTTTGCAAGCATCTAATAACTAAACATGAAAGTGTTTAGTCCCAGGCATTACAATATAGTCTTTATTTACAGAGCCAGCAGCAATATTTTTCAATCCTCAAGCAGTTTTGGATTTCTTGCTTCCGAAAAAAAAAAAAAAACCACAGCTTTTCTCCATTGTCATCCGCATGAGATAAGTCTGTCCAGTTAAGATATACAATTATCATTATCATCTATCACGTAAAATAAGTAAAAAAAAAGTGTAAAGAATTTAAAATTTTGAATTAAAAGTAATCCAGCAACCCAACTCCATCTAATATAAGAATTTATGTTTTATGTTTGAAAATAAATACGGTTATAATTAAAAAGTGACAAGAGTGGTATTAAATTAAATTTGATGATATGTTATTAGAATTGATATTTGAGGGTTACAATTTATGTTTTTTTCAATTTCATAATTTTTAAATGTCAATTCCAATGATATGTCAACTGATTTAAAGATAATTAATATTGTTTTATCTTACATTACATGTAAAATTACATATTAATAATACCAAATGTAAAATTCATTATTATAGTTTAATGTTGGTAAAATGCTAAGATTATCTTTATTAATATCCTGAGCAACAAATAGATAATAGTAAAAATTTTATTACATACATGATTAAATGTTGTTTAACACTATTTATTTTTTATTATAGGAAATATTTTTTTGAGTTTTTTTTTTTGTTATTAAAGGGGTAGAGCTTTATTGGGGTTTGAATCCTAATCTTGATGTTTTTTTAAAGTTGTTTTGATGTTTTATAAATTCAATAATTTCTTAGATTGATTTAATTTAGTTTTAGATTTATTTAATTATATATTGATATTAATTTATTAATTTTTAATATAAATAATATTTTGATTATAACTTTTTATTAACAATTAATAATTTCATAAAGCCTAATAATATAAAAAAAAATAGAACCAATACGCACTAAAATGCCTGACGGTCATAAAAAAAAGTTAACCGAACGTACTTTGATTCCGTCAATATCAAGCAACCTAACCAATCCGATTGAGTCTTGGAGTCCCATTCTATGTATAGCTCTCGACTCTTGAGTCCCAAGAAACCCAGCGCGATTCAACAACCCCACTCTCGTTCTACTCCCTCCTGCAATTCTTCTTCTCCTAAACCACTCACCACCTTACTTTCCAATTCTTCAAAAAAAAAAAAAGCCTAGTTCCTGTGTTTTTCAGCAGAGAAGAGTTTTCAAAAGGAAAATGTTACAGTTCTCATCGCTGCTTTCTAGCCATATTCGATTCTTGCTACAGAGTCTCACCGACTCCAATTTCGTTTCTGTTCTTCGTGATCTTTGTCAGGTACTCAAAAAATTCTTCTACAATTCTCTTTTCTTTTTCTTTTTTTTTTTTTTTTTTCCTTTTTTCGCGTTTCTTCTTGAGCGATTTGTTTTGGCTTGATTCGAATGTGACAATGTTTGAGTCTGAAATCGTAAAAGTTTTTGGTCTCATGATGAATGCTTTGTTTTCGTTTCTTTTTTATCGTATACTTATGTTGTTACCGGCTTTATTTGGTTGATGAGAGAATGTAAAAAAAATGAGGTGTAGAGTCAATGTATTATACATGTTATGTTCTACATAAAACCAGGTTTCGTTCAGATCGTGTTTTTTCTCGCTATAATTTTATGTTTCTTTCCTTTTCGGGTTTCATTTAGGGTTTTAGTTAGGGGTTGATACAAATATGATTTGTCCTAAGATTTTGATCTAGTGATTAATCCTAAGTTTCCTTTTGTTTACATGCATGTGCCTCTGTTTGGTTGAGAAAATGAAAGAAAGTAAAGAGCAATGAAAGAAATTTAAACATCTGGATAGTTTTGTCTCTTATGCAACAATGTTGCCAGTTGGTGTGCGAATGCAATGGTGAGACAGTGCGTCATCTTTTAAGTCATTGATCTTTATCTAAATAGCTTTTATCCTTTTTCTGATTCTCTATATGAATTCTCTTAAATACTGCCAAAAGGGTGACTAATTGTTGACTGGTTAGAATGAAGATTTGGATGGCATAGAAAATGTAAGGCTTGAAGAGAGATTGAGCAAGAAAGGAGAGAAAAGGATTGATCGTGAAATTTCATATGTGCATGCAGTGTCATATAGATCTTTATTGGTTTCCAAATGCAATCTATTAGAGGTCTTTTTTTTTTTTTAAATTTAAAACAAAGCTAATTGGTTTATATCTAGTTTCCGTAAAATATCCAAGCATCCTACAAAAAACAAATGAAAAAGAGAAAAAAAATATTTGCATTTGTAGTACAAGATTAGCATCTGAAAAGAGGGAAAAAATAATTACTTAATTTTCTTAGCTTGGGAGGGGTGGGTGGTGGGGTGGTGATTGTATGTGTCTGCACTCTGCTACTTTAAGTTATGAATACCAGGTTTTATATCTTTATAATTGTACTGTTGATTCTGTCAATTATGTGATCCCTATTTTCTATTTGCAGAATGATGTAATTTTTTATCAATAATTTATAGTTGTTTAGAATTTTATTACGTGTTTATTGCATTTCTTTATTGGTTACTTAAATGGACTTTATCTTCTGGGAAGACTCTTGAATATGGGATCGAGGGAAGCATCTTGCTTCTACAGACAATTTTGTATCACATGAATCTTCTGGGGGAAGATATGCAAAGAAAGCAATATATGTCAGGCCTATTTTCTGAAGTTTTCAGTTATCTATTAGACCAACCAAATTTTGGTACTGTGTGTTGTGAAGCATTCAGAAACGTAATTATCAGCAAAAAGTTCCTTCAGGAGTTTTCCAATGAATTGCAATTGTCAGTCTCTGAAAAAGTTGCCCTTGGTCTTGCTTTGGCAGACTCGGAGAATGATGAGTTCAGAACAATTGGTAAGTTCATCCCTTTTCTAAATATCTGCTCAAAATATTCTTCCAAGAATGGCGCTTTTAGTACATGATTCATTTATTTTTTTTTCAGGTCAGGACTTTAACATAGGTTTGATACAGGAGTTATGTAGAAATCCAGCCTCTGTTGATTCTGTTGAGGAGATTCAGAATATAATTTTGTTTTTCTATCAGTCTGAGGGTCTAACAAAGTATGTGGACTCCTTTATGCAAATGTTGGCTTTGATGGAACCAAAAGAGAGGACGTCTCTTATATTAGCTCCACTGCTCAAAGATGATGTAAAGGAGGCTAGATTTCTAAGGTGTTTGTAACTCCTTGAGTTTTGCTTTAGTTTTTATAATGTAACTGATTTTATGCCCGCTAATATAAAATTAAGGAATCAATTTCCTTGTCCTACTTTCTTTCTTGTTTTTTCTTTGAAGGAATTTGGATATGTTCCACAATTTCAATGAAAATGAATTTGACTCCCTTCTGGTGGAGATGGAGAGTGAGACTAGCGTGTCTGATATTATGAGAGAAGTGGGATATAGATGTACAGTTAATTCTACACATTGCAAAGAGGTGTTGTCAAATTTCTTACCTTTGAATGAAGTTACTCTGTCTAGAATACTTAGCACTGTTGCCCAAAGCTATTCTGGCCTTGAGGACAGTCAACTTTCACATTCATTATTCTGCTCTGCAATTGGTAGCAGTGCAGCATTTGATATATCATGCCCAGGCTCTTGGAATGTGGACATTTTGGTGGATTCAGTTAACCAGCTTGTAAGTCCCATTAATCTTGATTCATCTTCTCTACCTTGTTCCAAAATTGATTAAAAAGTGAAATTATTATTGATTTGGAGAGTACCAACTTGTAAGCCCCATTAATCTTGATTCATTTTCTTTACCTTGTTCCAAAATTGATTAAAAAGTGAAAATATTATTGATTTGGAGAGTAATATTTTGATCTTCAGGCTCCTGGAATTCATTGGAAAATTGTCATGGAATATCTGGATCATGAGGGATTTTACATTCCTAACAGCCAGGCATTTTCCTTTTTCATGTCAATTTATGCCCGTGCATGTCAGGTACTATAGTTTAGCACAGATGTTCAATTTAAGTTTATATAATGTTTTAAAGTTACACTTAATCATTGCAAATAAAATTTCAGGATCCTTTCCCTCTTCATGCTGTATGCAACTCTGTTTGGAAGAATGTTGATGGTCAATTATCTTTTCTAAGATACGCTGTATCAGCCCCGGTTGAGATATTTACCTTTGAACATTCTGTCAGGAAGCTAGTATGGCACATTGCTCATTAATGTCTAATCTTTTTTCTTTCTCTTGTCCCTCTTACTTTTTCTTTTTCCAATTTGCCTTAAATGTATATTCTTTTACCTAAAGGCATATGTTGAAGCGTGTAATCGCCATGAGCTTTTGTCCATACAAGGAAATCACGCTTGGTTATCCCTTGACCTTATTGATGTGTTGTGTCAATTAGCTGAGAGGGGCTATGCCAATTCTGTACGAGCAATGCTTGACTACCCTCTCAAACACTGCCCTGAACTATTGCTGCTTGGAATTTCTCAAATTTGTGTATGGTTCTTGTACTTATCGAACTAAAGTTACACAAAATTTTTTTTCAGAGTAGCAATTTCTGACCATAGTGCTGATTTTATACTTTATGTTATTCTTGTAGACTGCTTATAACCTTCTCCAACATGATGTCTCTTCTGCCATTTTCCCCATGGTTGTTGAAAATTCCGTGGGAAGCTTGATTCTTTATCTTTGGCATTCTAATTCCAAGTTTGTGGCACATGGTTTAGTGCACATGATTAAAGCTGACCAAAGCAGCATAATTAGAATGTTAGGCATTTGTTATGAACAGAAGGTAATAAAAACTCAATCTGTTGAGGGATCAATTGCTGTCAGTAATGCAACTTTTGCTGTACTTTTTGTTTCATCTATGGTATAGAATTAATATGTTTGTATGTCCTCTCTTTTATGGAGCTTTTACTATCTTCTTCATTGTTTTCTCTTTCTAGTCTCTTAGTATGTACTTTTATTTTCTTGTAATATCATTTCTCTTTTGTGAATAGTTTTGATTACTGTTTTATTAAAATCCACGGGGTGATCATGCAATAAGTCTTTGTGTGCACAAAGTTGTATGCATCGAAGGATTTTTTGAATCTCTCAGAAGGAGCCTTTCTTCATTGTGGTCTGCAACAACCTATTAAATTAAAGCGAAGGGACAAATCCTCTTATCCACGGGGATGCGAAGGGCATTGAAACCTCAGAACTAAAGATAAAACAATGAGTACTTTGTAAAAGGTTCAGCCATAATAAAAGGAAAGTCCAACAGGGTAGATTAAAAACTGGTTTTGTTTAAGCTTTAAGATGGAGAATTAACTTCTATAGCTTTTCATTTAATTTCTCTTTTCAATTTTAAGCTTACTAATTGTTTATTAGCTAAGTTGCTAAAACAAGAGAAATTTCACTGCTTTTAAAGAATCCATGACTTGTCTGTGTGATTTTAGGATGTGAAATCTTATTTTCATTAGGATCAAAATTATAGTTGTATTTCTTCTTTATGGTACTGGCACTCAGTCTGCTTTGCTATTATATGGTTTATCAATTTCTAGTGAATTTGTTGTTATGCAATGCAGATTTTATCTGGTTTCTTGGAGCAAATCTTATTTTCATTAGGATCAAAATTATAGTTGTATTTCTTCTTTATGGTACTGGTGCTCAGTCTGCTTTGCTATTATATGGTTTATCAATTTCTAGTGATTTTGTTGTTATGCAATGCAGATTTTATCCAGTTTCTTGGAGCAAATTCCATTTTCTTGTAGTATTCGACTAGCTGTATTGGCTTCCCAAGAAGAATACTTATGTCTGGAGAAGTGGTTGAATGATAATCTGAATGATTATAAAGACATCTTTGCTGAGGTTAGTTTTCTTCCTTTCTTTTTCTTCATGGTGATGATGAAAGTGAAAACCATCTCTGCCGATTCAATTGAAATGCAAAGAACAAAATGCTCCTAATTTTCATATTGCTTATTTCAGGAATGTCTAAAATTTTTTAAGGAGATTTCTTTAGATGCAGCAGAAGATATGTCCCATGATTTGTTTCAATCTCCTGGCGTTGTTGAGAATATATATTTCAAGACAAGTTCAACATTTATAAAGGTTCTACTGCCTCAAAATAATATTCCTCTATTATGTTTGTTTACTTCACCTTGTAATGTTCTCTATGTTGCAGGTTTTTCGAGCTAACACTGAACACATCACTTCTGACCACATTGCTGAAGAATTGGAAAGAATGAATAGGGCTTCTATGCATGTCAAGCCTCGACTTCAGAATGTTGGCACTTCAGATTCGTCAAATTTATATGGATATGCTGATGATATAGAGGCTGAAGCAGATTCTTATTTGTCTCAGATATTTTACAGTCAGATGCCTATTAATGTTATGATTCACATGCTTTCAAAATTAAAGGAATCTTCAGAGAAAAGGTTGATTATTAACTTAAGCACTAGAAACTGAATGGTACTGTCATATTGAGTATGTTTTAGCTTTCTGTGTACTTGTTGTCGGTGCTGATAGTTTACATTGGCTGCAATAGTGGTCTATAGCTTATCCTGATGTGTTTGCAATGGTTTGTTCATCTTTTTCCCTTTCCGTATGAGTGGATATGTGTTTTAGCATTTTTTTTTTTTCATAATGCCATTATTCAGTACTCCTTTTTGACATTTAGCATCTGTTATGTCTCATAGTTGCTGGATTGTTTGGAAATGGTTTTGAGAGTTTGCTTTCTCATTATTTGTCGAGCATCTAAATCTGCTTTTGCACGGTTTAATGCCAGATTCTTGGAGTTATTCAGTCGAATTTAATGTTTTCTAGAACTTCTTGCAATGTGCTTTATATTCCTTGTCTGGATATCCCAGCAAATTTGAACTAATGAATCTATTTAATGTTAAAACTTATGCTTTTGCTTTGCTGATATAAAAGTGTTTCAAGAACGGACTAAAAAGTTGTCTCTTGTTGCATTATGCTAGTCTGAGCTGTTTCAGTATTAGTGCTAGGTGTGCCTAACTTGGCATGATTCTACGGGGAATTTCATATAGGTAATTATGTTATTGTTCATTTCATATACCTAAATGGGAAAGATAATGACCTTAGTTATGTTATTGTGCATTTTGCATTATTTTTAAGATTACTTTTTAATTTGAAAATAATATTCTGACTAGCTCTTGTTTCATTTAACAGGGAACAATTAATTTTTGATCATGTGATACAGAATTTGTTGGATGAGTACAGGTTCTTCCCTAGGTATCCAGAAAAGCAGCTCAAGATTGTTGCTATCCTGTTTGGTAAGCCTACATTTTTTTCTCATTTCTATTTTACAGTCTTTGGGGTTTTAAGCCCTATTACCTCTTCTAAGCTGCTTATCGTGGGTAGCTTGGATATTTGTGCTAATTCCTCAAAAGGGTATCTAACTCCATTGCCTTTTTGTTTCTATGCAAAATGTTGTGTTCTTATAAAGTTGAGGCCAATTTGATTCGTTGATATAATTGAACTTCATAGTGTAGCCTGAGCTGCCTTGTAAATATGGCCAGATATAAGTTGGTTTAACATATCTATGTTATGAGCTCTTTAGGGTGATATTGACAGCCTGAAACAAATTATAAATGCTTGTTATATCTGGAAGTGTCTTTTTGAGCATATAATATGGTCTCTTTCCCTTTAGAAATTTTAGATTGGCAGGGAAGTAGTTGGTTATCAGTAAAGTCGGTTCCTTTTGCTATTAGACACATGGTGCACTTCTTGGCAAGAGCCTAAAGGTCAAATGGTAAGAGGCTGTTGCTGTATTAAGTAACATAGTGGAATAGGTTGAATGTTGCCTCAGTGTTTACATTTGCTGCACAATTGTTGACACTAGGAAATAACATGTTTGCATGTGAAGACACAATCATAGAACATATCAGTTGGTTAGGATTTTTGAAATTGTTATTACCATGGAATTATTCCACGGAATTATCCTGCCAATAGACACACTGCAGAGTGCTTAAATTCTGACAAATTTGTGTCTCTGGCTCCTTTACCCCTTTGTGTCTTTAAGCAGACTCTTGAATATCATCCTACAGGCAGGAACATTCAGTTTGTTCACAAAAGCTTGTAGTTTAGTTTCATATATTAAGAGCTTATCTACTTTGTTGCAGGCTCTCTAATCAAACATCGGCTTGTAAACAATCTGAATCTTGGTATTGCTTTGCGTAGTGTGCTAGATGCATTGCGTAAGCCCACAGACTCAAAGGTTAGTAGTATTTTCTTCTATTGTGTTTCATCTGCAATGTAGTTTTTCTGTGGTTTGACATCATAATTGGTTTTGGCTTGTAGCTATTTGTGTTTGGAACCAAAGCTTTAGAGCAGTTTGTGGACCGTTTGGTTGAGTTGCCACAATATTGCAGTCTTATTTTGCAAATATCCCATTTGCGTGGAATGCATCCAGAGCTTGTTGATTTTGCTGAAAGTGCGCTTGCTTGGATTTCATCAAGTTGCTTGGAAAAAGATGAAGATAACACCTACGTTATTTATCCCCAGGATGATTCTACTGCAGCTGCTTCAAAAAATTTGAAGGTGAGTTTGGTTCTATTAAGTTTTTCTTTTTGTAACTTGTTTTATCTTTCAGTTTTGTCAAACACTAGCTGCACTTTATACCATTTACCTTAAAGAATGTGAGCTTTCCAAATTCACACAAAGTTATTGTCTTTGTTTTTGTGTATGTGTGTTTTTCCCCATTTTGGGATGATTTGCTTCAATGCACTCCTAAAACTAAACCTTATAACATGTTCAATCAAATATAGGAATAATATGAAGATACTATGTTAAGTGGCATGCACATGTCTCAATACGTTTTGCTTCTTTCAGAGAAACACTTTTGGACTTGAAACCATTTATTTTTGTCCTTAGTGCAACTCAAGTTATTGCATTGCTGGATTAATTTATTTACTGAGGTTAACAACCACCACCAACCCTGCCTCCCTTCTCCATGTTATCAAGAGGGTTGGTTATGAGTGCAAAATCAAAGTTGTAAAATAACTGCCCGATTTAAACTATCCTTATTATTAGGTATACCTTTCTAGAAAATTTAAAAAAATCACATTTTCCTGTTATTCACTTTTTGAAGGAGGCCGGGCTTTCTTTCTAGTCTTCTGAACAAGGTATCCTCATGCATTTTGTTGATGGTGATTATATTAATCTCTTGAGTGTAAATCATTAAGTATCCAGGCTAAAACGAATTGGAACTAGGTGGAGAAACACCAATTGGCTTTAGGTAGAGATAGAAAGGCCTAACTTGTGAACGTTAAGTACATGACAAACCCCAAAGTTAGTTGATGTTAACATATATGAATTTTGATAAACAACCAAATTATCATCTACATGTCTTGATATCTTTTTATCACATTAGATCTCTCGTTGTACCGTTGATATTATTAATTTGTTTTTGAAATTGCTCAAAAGTATGGGTTACTATAGCCTATTAATGGAAACATATGTGTTAATTGACCAATTCCATCAGTAAAGTAATAGAAAACTAGGTTAGAGAACTAAATTCTTTAGGATTTCTCATTATTTGTCTTGTTGGATTAGTTTACCATAACTATAATGTATGCTTGCTTCAGTATGTCTGTGGCCATTGAATTATGGTTTTAGCCTTTTAGGTTCTAATGGTATATTTGAATCAATAGTTCCTATTTTGAATGGAATTTTTTATTTATATAGTTTTCTTTTGAAGGTATTGAGAACATGATGATATTTTCTATTTATTTCTGGTGTTTAGATTACTATAACTTGTCAAGTAAGTTACCCTAATGGCCTGATTCCCCATAGCAGTTACCTGGAGTTATGACCAGACAGCCAAGCCATCAACTCTCCCCTTCACAGCAGATGGAACAGAGACTTGAAGAAGTTATTGGTGATAGAATCAAGGCATCTATGACTTCAAGCATATGCATGAAACCACTTTTACCTCAGTCTGCCCACCCTTCAAATGGCTTCCTGAATGACGTTGCTAGCAGTCAGAAGGTATTTGCTTTTCCAAAATCAATCTACTAGTTTGTATATTGATATAATTTCCGTCTCTTGCATCAATATTCAAATTACCTTATAATTGTTCTTTGCTGTGGCTGATATCTTTTAGTCCATGCAGACTGTCCTGTCACAAAATACAATAATGGCAGTTCCATCCACTGCTCCTGATTTTCCTCATTCTAGGGGAGTTACTTCAACTAGTAAGTATTTATATGCCTTTTCTAACATCTGATTGCATGTAGTTCCTGGATGAATCCAAAATCCCTTAAGCCACTTTATCTTTTCAAACCATTACATATCTGTTGGGTTTCTTTAAACAAAATTCATATGATGCAGGGTTTGGTTCGGCTCTAAATATTGGAACACTTGTTGCAGCAGCCGAGAAGAGGAATACTCTTGTTGAGGTATCTTATTCTCTTTATACATGTAAATGTTCATTTACACCTACATTCACAGTGAATGTCAATGTACATCTCCATCTATGCATACATGATCTTTTTTTTTCTTTTGAGGGGCAACAAGAGAATGATTTTTGTTTACTGGTACCATAAGGAACTAAAAGGGACCTTTTTATCAGATTGCAAACTATGGCACTCTTTTAAAAAAATTATTTTGTATATTTTAAATTTTACATTATTGGATATTTTGATCTACCCTCTTGCTTTACTGGTGTCATTTTCATGTGAAATAAGAAAATGCCACTTTTATTAGTTTTCCTCTTACAAATCAATCTATAGGTTCCATGGATTTTGAAAGCTTTAATATTTTATTTATTTTGTTTTTGACAGACTCCTGCATCCGATGTTCAGGATAAGATATTTTTCTTGATTAATAATATTTCATCATCAAATGTTGATGCTAAAGTGAAGGAATTTACTGAGATTCTTAATGAGGAACATTATTCATGGTTTGCACAATACATGGTGATGAAAAGGTAAGACTGAGTTCTGCTTGAGAGCTCCTGGAACGTTATAATTTATCTATATTCTATGTAGCTATCTGTGTGGATGATCAACTCATGATGAGTTTTCACTAAATAATTAATGATTTATTAACTTCCTGTCATAAAACACTTGTCAGAGCAAGCATTGAGCCAAATTTTCATGACTTGTACTTGACTTTTCTGAAGAAAGTCAATTCAAAAAGACTGAATGAAGAGATTGTCAAGGATGCTTATGAGAATTGCAAGGTTTATGTGCTAGAAATCTTTATTTTTTGATTTAGTTGTGATCTTGAGTAGTTCTAATAGTAATACAAAGTAGTATATTTCAGGTTATTTTGAGATCTGAGCTTATAAAGTCAAGCTCAGAAGAACGTTCCTTGCTGAAAAATTTAGGTAGTTGGCTTGGGAAGTTTACTATTGGCAGAAATCAAGTGCTAAGGGCCCGAGAAATAGATCCCAAATCTTTAATCATAGAGGTAACCATTCTAATGAATCCCTTTTTCCACTTCAATTTCATCATTATCTTGCTTTGCTTTGTCCAGGCATATGAGAGGGGCCTGATGATAGCTGTGATACCATTTACCTCAAAGGTATTAAAATTTCAGTTATGTAATGTGATTTCTACTATCTTTCTTTGCTACTTTGATGTTTTAATAGCTTGGTTTTGCTGCAGATTTTGGAACCATGCCAATATAGTCTTGCTTACAAGCCTCCAAATCCTTGGACTATGGCAATTCTTGGTTTACTTGCAGAGATCTATGCATTGCCAAATCTTAAAATGAATCTCAAATTTGACATTGAGGTCTACTTTGATGCTCCTTGATATATTTACTGAGTCTGAACTTGTAAATTTGATTTTTTTTAACTCTTTCTCATCGTATCCTCCCATTTTTAGGTTTTATTTAAGAACCTTGGTGTAGATATGAAGAAAGTTAACCCAACATCTCTTCTAAAAAACTGTCTCCGCAAAATAGAAGGAAATCCTGATTTTTCCAACAGAGATGTTGGGGCATCTCAGCCACCAGTGGTTACCCAAATTAACTCTGGGATCAAGTCTATACTGAACAAAGTTGATTTAGAGCCTGAAATAATCAATACATCTCATTCTGATGGCCAGTTAAAGGTATTGCCCCTTTTCTAAGGTTTAACACTTTATTATTTTCTGATTACTCATGATTTGTAATGTTCTTCTCTAGTGTTTGATATTGCACTTGTCTTTTGACGTTAGTATCCTTCTGGGCTTTCATTTTCCATTTGGTCAATTAGCAGAAGAAAAAAGGTGGCTTTAGCATTTGATATTGTACTTGTTTTTTGGCATTACTACTGTGATCAGCTTCCTTCTAGCCTAGACCTTTCCCAAGTTGTTTCATCTCAGTCTCCCGATTTTATATTGTTGCACTCAATATAATATATTTGAAAACTTTATGCTCAGTTTGCTTTACTAAGAACAAACAATGGTTTGTGCAGTTGGTTTCAGGAATTTCTAAGATTGAAACTCAATTTATTTTCAATAACAAACTCAGCAGTTTGGGCTTACATCATTTGAAAAGGTTCATGTCTGTCAACATTTTCTTATCTATATTCTAATCAAAGTATCCAGTTTGCTTAACTCCATATATTTATTTTTAGAGTTGTCTCCATCATTGTGGAGAGGGCTATCAAAAAGCTCCTCTCTCCAGTTGTTCAACGCTGTGTTCCCATAGCAATCCAGACAACAAAGGAACTTGTTCTAAAGGTTAGGATTGTTATTTTTTTTTCTTTTTATGGAGTGACTTATCATCTGGCTACTATTTTATAGTAATTTTTTGCTCTTTTTATGCTATAAACCTAAGGACTATGCTACAGAGTCAGATGAAACCCTCATATATGATGCTGCCCATTCAATGGTAGCTAGTTTGGCTGGAAGTCTAGCTCACGTCACATGCAAGGTTTCATATTTGATTATCAAATTTCTTGGCTTCTTTAGCATGCACTTTATGCATTACTATCTTGCTGTTAATAAGCAAATTTATTGTAGTTTATTTGAATGCCCAAGCCTTAATGATCTAACTGTGGTTCTTTTTGCCAGGAAACTCTTCATACCTCACTATCATGTCAACTAAGGAATTCATTTCAGGGGTTGAATGTTCCCAATGAACATCTTGAACAAGCTGTTGCTCTTGTTATCAATGATAACCTTGATTTTGGGTGTGCAGTAATTCAACATGCTGCATCTGTGAAGGTATGTTTGATTTATTATTATTATGGATTTCCTTGATGAGAAATCAAAGATTGTGGAGTATGAAAGACATGGAATGTCTGCTTGAAGTATTAAGCAAGTAGCAAAATATATGGGGGGAACTCTACAAATTGATTGTAGATTAGATTATGAGAAAGTGAAGAATCTCGATTTCGTTCTTTTTTTGCCTCTTGTAGTGGGTGATGAGTGACAACAAGCCCTTTGGCGGAAATTATTAGAAGGGGATTCTTGAAGTTTTGAAGGTGTTATTCCTGCAGCTTCTTGAGTATTTAGTTTTTCAAGCTCTTCTTAAATATTGTCATTATTGCATTGTTCCTACACTTCTGTTTTTAGGTTTCTCCATATGCTTCTTATGCACCTAGGGATTATTCTTGGTTTGGCTCTTTACTTTCAATTTAATTTTTGTACCTCCTTGATTTTCACTTCCACCCAAAAATAAGTATAATGGTTCTTTTCTGAATATGTTGCTAAGCAACAGGTTGGGGAAATATTGATGTTTCATTTGGATGGGCATTGCAAAAGGAAATAAATAGCATATAGCATTGCTGATTTCTTATTCTGTATATGGTGCCAAATCAGGCAGTACAATCCATCGACTGTGAAATTACTCGGCAACTTTCTCTAAGAAGGAAAAATAGAGAGGGTATTGATCGTTCATATTACGATGCAAACATTAATGCTCAAGGTCCTAAGACTGTTATATCAGAGTCCCAACTCCCCAGACCCGGGCAGAGTTCTCACTCACAACAGCAAGTATATGAGGTAATAATTTCTGGATTTGTGGATGATGAGTGGTTTGGATTATGTTAAATCATCTCTGATTTGCATTATTTTATTCTTTCTATTCCTGTAGGATTTTGTTCATTTTTCCTGGAGAAATCAAGTTGGTCAGAACTCAAATGTTGTCCCTGCCAGTCTGCCTGCTTCATCTGGTGCTTCTGTCAGTTCTACATTATCTTGTCCTCAATTTCCCTCTGCAGGGCAGCTTAACCATGGACCATACTTATCTGGGAATGAACCTGCTGGCTTGGACGGTGTTAATTATCCTTTGGATCTCATTTCTGTGGAGATTGACTCTAACCAATTTCTTAGGTGATTGCTAAGGCTTTGTTTGGTTGTCGCTTTTACGTTTAGCTATTTTTCCTTCATTTTCAGTTAATATTTTATTTTTTTCTTTACACTTTCTATTGAAAAAAATCTAATAGCAAAAGCACCAATCAAATGGAGCCTAAACATAGTTATCATGTCTTTTCTGTCATTTCTTCTGCCTCTTATGTTGTTTTTGAAGATTCACTTTCTTATCTATTTTACGTCACAGCAGTTCTTCCACTAGTATTGGAGCAACTGATGACATCAATCTGCTTGCTGCTAATCAAAGTTCTGTCAGTTCTTTGTGTCCAATTGCTGCTGCCCCAGAAGTGCATTCTGAGGAGGTGCCTTATGCCAGAAAAGTTAGAACTATTTGTTATTACTTAGATATGTACTAGCCCTTTTTACTAATGACTGTTAACAGTGATATATATTCTTGGTTGTTAAAGGAATTGAGACCTACTGCAGAATCATTGCCTACAGCTCCCATTGATCAACTGGGAAGTGGAATCTCGGAACCCTTATTATCTATGTCAGATGTACTGGAAAAGTATCAAATTATTTCCCAGAAGGTAATTAATGTCTTTACAAATTACATTTACCTCCATTGTTACTCTTCAATATTGTATGAGCCCCAATGTATTGCATCAAACTAAGCATCTGCATTTTTGAGTAATTTATCTTCCATCTAAAGTTTGAAGTTTTATTCATCGATACTGACTTGCTTCTTATTCTTAACATGCATTATTTTGCCTCTTCACGCTGTTTTTTTTGGGCTTCATTTGATGGTTCCTTTATTTCTTCTTGCTTGGTTCTTTATTCGGTAAGAATTTAAATAATTATATGATGCTTGTGTGTTTCAGTTGGATATGTTGGTGAGTAAAGAGTCTGGGGAGGCAGAGATTCATGTTAGTTTTTCTAATCTTCCCACTTTTATTTGAACGTGTTGCAAAAGAATAACCTTTATAGGATTGTTTCCTATTTCATCTAATCTGGATGGATATGCATGTTCAGAGAGTTGTTTTTCAGATTCCAAAGATCATACTTAAATGTGTTAGCCAAGATGAGGCTGCCCTTGCAATTGCTCAGAAGGTGTGTCTATTTGTATTTTGGAAAATTTTTAGTTACTCGTCCTGTCTCATTCCATGATATATTCTTGTGACAGGTTTTCAAAAGCTTATACGAGAATGCTTCAAACAGTTCACATGTTGGTTCACATATTTCAATTATTGCTGCTATTCGCGATGTTTGCAAGCTTGTTGTCAAGGAGGTTACAAGTTGGGTATGTTGCTATAGAATATTTTCCCAGGTCATTGTTCAGATTTCCATGTATCATGCCTGGTATTGATATATTATGTACTATTTTGTTGTTCTTGTTTTTGCTTGATTGCTTTGACTTAGTTTCTACCATAAATGATGCACTTCTTCTTATGATTCATAGTTTTGGCCTTTCTTTATTGAAAATAGATTACGTCTTCATGTTAAAGTTAAGGGCATCAAAGGAAGGGACTCTTGATTTGGGGTTTTTAGGTAAGCAGTTATGTAGGTCTGCACTTGAAAAGAGTGCTCCGGCTGGAATTTAATGGTAGTAAAATTTACAAGTGTCCTGGTTGATGGATGATCGATCTTTAATAGCTGAACAGTATGGAGTTAGTTTATCGATGCCGTATGAAGTGTTATCTGGGATGATTTGACAACAAATTAAGTATTCAGGGTACAAAATCAGAGTTCTCTTTTGGGATGTTATTATGGCTCTGATCTTTTTCTTGATGGTAGACAGTCAAAGTAACTTAATATGGTGGGTTAAACAGGGAACTTGTTTTAAGATTTGGTTATGATGAGCTCTTTGGGATGTGGAACTTGCCTCCATTATATGTTTGCGAGCAATGCTCTGTGAGACTTGTTCTGATGGAAGGATGAATGATTGCAATAAATCTTATGACTTGCAGTGCAAACTTTCTGCTGAAGACTGTTTAGCAGCTATGGTCTCAACTAAGATTTCTTATGTAGCACTTTCACTATGAGAAAGATCTTCTGGATATTGAGATTTCATTAAGCAAGTTATGGTACTTTTTTGGATGGAGAACTACTTCTTCTATTTTTATTTTTTGGCCAGATTGTTTCTTCCAATGTTTAAATGAGTTGATTTCCTGTTGCAGTTCTTAAGACTGTTTGGGTCCTCAATAATACATTACAGTGTTGACCTCTCCCGTTATTTTCTTTTGATCTTTTCACAGCTGTTCTTTTCTTGCTTCTTTTGGAATATTTACTTCTTGTGTACCCTTGCTGTACCCTTTTCTTTCTTTTTCCCATAAAAGTGAAAAGTCTGCTTAGTCAAAAAGGTAACAACAGAGGAGTTGTATTATTGATTATATCCATGAAAATACTGTGTACATGTTTTTGCTATGACACATTCAATGTCTAACACCTGGGAAAGGTTCTATATCGTTGTGTTGTACTTACTGTGATGTGATATGTATAAGATCCATGCCTATCCCCACAAGGTTGTGGGAAAGGGATATATATATATATATATATATGGAGGGAAATCAACTTACTCTAGTGTAAAACTAAAAAATTTTACATCTTTTTTATCCATTGATTTCAATGGATCCTAAGGATGAGAGAGATAAGTGAAAAAGGGAAAAAATGGTATAATCTCATCCCTTAGATCTATTAAAATCAAGGGTTAAAAATTTCTCATATATATATATATATATATATCTTAATACAGAAGCATATCGTACTTTCAGTATGGTTTGCCTGTCGGTTGAAAGGCTTATGATATTTTGCTGAGCTATTATTGCTATCTAATGAAACTCAATTGTGTTTTGAACTTTTATCTAATTTCTATCTTTTCATGATTATTTTTTTAAAGGTGATTTATTCGGATGAGGATAGGAAGTTCAATACAAATATAACTTTTGGCCTTATGCGCAAGGGTTTGCTTAATCTTGCTGAATACAACAAGCATATGGCAAAGCTTATTGATTCTGGAAAGAATAGTATGTGTTAGAGATATTGGTCTTTGAACAAAGTTGTGTCCTGGTTCCTTGTCATTCTTTGATTAATCTTACTAATTGCAAATGAACCGCAGAAACTGCAACAGAATTTGCAATATCGCTCCTTGAAACCTTATTGGTTCAGGAATCAAGTCTAACTTTGTCAGAACTTCCCAATCTTATTGATTCCTTGGCAAAGGTTTGAATTTGGTTTTTTTTTTTTTTTTTTTTTTTCTGTTTTTTATCATGCATGTCAGTAAGCATTCATACCAAACTGTAGCTTGCAGCAAGACCTGGAGCTCCTGAATCATTACAAAAGTTGGTTGAGATTGCCAAGAATCCTCCAGAAAATGCTGCAAGTCCTTCTGGTAATATTGTTGGCAAGAATGCTAGAGATAAAAAGGTAGCTGGAGATATTGGCAGTTTATTCATTGAAAGAGTCATGAGCTTTCTTTTGGGATATTCCCACCTTTTAATTAATGAATATACTGTAAAACAGAGCTCTGATCATTCTGTGACAATTATGGATGGCAATGTCAATGCTGAATCTACAGGAGTAGACCTTGCTGGATTCTATGACCAGGTATATGAATTTGGTATAAATTTATATGTGAACCATGGATAAATTTTTTTGCCTGATGCAGAGTTTTCCTGCTTGTGTCTTTTTCTGTTCTGGTCATATGAAAGAAATTCGGAAGTATCTGAAGATTCAATCTTTTATTCTATAATGTCTTATTAACTGCCTATCTGCTTCATTTACCTCCATAAAGTCATGAACTTCAGCACCCTGCACACTTTTTAAGAGTATCTAAGAATAAGAAGATAAATTTAGAAGTGATTGGAAAGTTGCATTTTCTTTATTTTTTAATACAAAAAAAGTAGAAGCAAGAGTTGAGGATTATGATTATGAGTTCAACTGATATGTTGATAATTTAATAAATTCCTTTCCTTTTTTTAATTAATTCTAGTTTTTTTGTAAATATGTAGCTAAGTGTTTTCACCACCTCAGCTAGTGATTTTATATGTTAGTGTAGCTGTAATCTACTAGGTACTTTCCTTGAGATATATTTACCTGATATTCTTTTCTTTTTGCTTACTTTTATGCTATTGTAGACTTACTATCTTTCTAATGTTGTTTTATGTTATTTTAGATGGATATACCTCTTTTTTTATGTGTTCCTTCCATTGTCTTCTCTTTACTCCAATTGAGCATTTTCATGTCTATTGGCATTCAATTACATAACCCCACTTTTAATTCGCCATCTCATTCAAGATGCTTAAATCCTGTAAATTTCATCCTCTTAGTTTCCTCATCTTTATGAATAATCAATCATAAATACTGAAAAGAAAACCACTCTTGAAAACTGCTTGACCTCTAATCTTCACTGCATCCTTCACCCCCCCCCCCCCCACGGGGCACGAAACCCCCTTTCAAGTTTACTGAATTGATTGCAAGCTTAGCAAGTAGGACCTTTGCAAAGTACATCTTAGAGTTAATAAATATAGGAGAATGACAAAGAGGATGCAATAGACTAAATAATTTCAAAGACCACAGTGAAAAATCCTATAATTTATTTGTCAAAGCATCTAAATATTGTTGGGATGATAATCCTGAAATGTGAGACTGATATGAAGATGACCTTGAAAACTCACATAATATATTTAACATTATTTATTTTAGTCTTTTTTTGGATAATTGAAATTTTTTTACCAAAGGAAAAATAGGAAAACCTGTTTTAAGCTCAACAGGCTGCAATAGGAGCAACACAGAAAACAAATACAATGATTGACATTCACAAATCTGTTCACTTAAGTTCTCCATTTTGTGCAAAGAGTCCTGTAGACTGGATCTTCAGAAATTTTTATAATACCTGCTATACCCATTTATTTTGCTCTTCATTCTTTAGCTATCTTTATATTTTAGATTGTTTTTGTTAGTGTTACATTCTGTGCTTGATCTTTTCTGTAATATCTGAACTCAACATCCATCAAACCTCATTTACCCCAGTCCCTGTTTGGGACATGTCTAGAGAAATCAATGCCATTCTGAGGGTGTGCCACAAATGGGCAGCACTATGTCCGTGTTGTAAGTTGGCCACCCCAGAAAAAACAGAAGGTAAAATCTTTGTGCTTATTCTCTTATGTTAATATGCGACAGGTTTCTGTGTTGTTCTCTGAATGGTACCACACATACATACATCATGGTGCAAATGATGCACCTTGTGCATATTTTGTCTCAAAATTGCAGCAAAGTGGATTTCTGAATGGTGATGATACATCAGATAAATTTTTTCGTTTTCTCATGGTAATATCTCTTTATCTGTGGAAGCCTTATACCAAAAAAAAAAAAAAACAGAATTTTAGAAATTGTTAATGGAGGTTATGTATTAATTAGTTTCTTTCTATCTTCAGGAACACTCAGTTGCCCATTGCCTTTCTTCTGAGAGAATTGGTTCTAGTTTGACATTCCAGTCACCTCAGACTGCACAGGACCTCTCATTTCTATTGGTTGATGTGTATGCAAAGCTTGTTGTTGTGATTCTGAAGGTATAGTCATCTTTTAAGAAATTTTTTTTTTGTGGTTTATCTTGTTACTTTGTGTCATCCATCCACCAACCTATTCTAAGTGTTTGTTTTCCTACAGCAGTATCTTGCAACAGATCATCTTTTATCAAAGGTTTGCCTTGGATTTTCCTGTGTTTTTTGTTCTGTTTTGTGGGGGCAGCTATTAAATGAATTGTTTTATGACAATGTGGCAGATTTTTCAATTGACTGTTAGAGTGATTCAGAGGAAAGCTGAGGAGAAGAAAGCATCTTTTAACCCAAGGCCATATTTCAGGCTGTTTGTTAACTGGCTATTGGACCTTGTTTCACCACATGCTGTCTTAGATGGTGCCAAATTTCAGGTCTAATGTTTTTCTTTATTTGTCTTAGTGATCTATTCTTGCTTCTTTACACAGACTGACATAAGATACTTTTAGGTTTTGATTGCTTTTGCAGACACTTTCCATGCATTGCAGCCTCTTAAAGTTCCTGCTTTCAGGTTAGCATGCCAAGCATTGTGTTCCGTTACATTTGTGGTGCAAAAAAGCGAAATTTTTGTTCCTTATAGATTAAGATGGGAATACATGGTTTCACCTCTGAATCACCTTTACTTTTAGCAGTGATGAGGATAGTTTTATCTGAACTGTTCATATTTATCTGGATTTTGTGCATTGTAAATAATGGGTTTCCCTTTGTCCTGAAATATTAGGGAAAACTAATTTATCGGTATACTGCATCAAGCAGCTATATCATTTCAATTTTTATTTTGTTATATTTTTATGAAGAGACATCATTCATAGTTAGGTACCGAGAATTGTGAAAGAGTAGAGATTACCTAGAAAGAGTATTATCATTCCACCAAAAGATGGAAAGTATATTTTTGTACTGAATTTTTAACTAAAATATTCCAATTTTCCCCATAATTTCATTTCAAAGTATACTATTATTCTACTTTTATAGCTAACAATATGAAGCTATTACAGCTTCGCTTGGCTTGAGTTGATCAGTCATAAGAGCTTCATGCCAAAATTGCTCACAGTCAATGCTCCAAGCGGTTGGGTTTGTGCTCAGCTTCTACTGGTTGATTTGCTCAAATTCATGGAACCTTATTTGAGGAATGCTAAACTTGAAGTGCCGGTTTGCTTCTTTTAACTTTGTGCAATTCTCAATTCGGGAGATTTTACACTTTAGTTTCTGTCTTCTTGCTTCATGTTTTGTGTGATCCATGCAGATTCGTCTTCTATATAAAGGCACTTTGAGGTTGCTGCTTGTGTTAATGCATGATTTCCCAGAGTTTCTGTGTAATTATCACTTCAGCTTCTGTGATGTAATTCCATCCAGCTGCATTCAGATGCGAAATATTATCCTTAGTGCCCATCCAAGTAACATGCAGCTGCCTGACCCTTCTACACCAAACTTAAAGGTATTTGTTTGTCTATTTTCTTGCTTAATAATTAGATTCCTCATTACATTGACTTGATAAACTTGGCTATATCTCTTTGCAGATTGATTTATTGCCAGATGTGCACATAGCACCACATGTATTCTCTGAGGTTGATGCTGCTCTAGGAGCTAAGCAGATGAAATATGATGTAGATGAGTATCTTAAGGTGATGTGGATGTGGAGAGTGTTCATTCTACCTTTATTTCGAAAATCCTGTTTAATTAATATAATAGGAGAGTAAAACCATTTCCTTTCACTTTCCCTGGATTGAATTTTGAGGGAAATTCCATTTACTGTTACGAGAGAAATTTACCCTGAAATTTAAAATGTCTTTTCTTATTCTTTTGCTTTCTTGTACCCCTTTGCCCACCCACCCTCCTCCATGCTGCTTGACAGGTTCTCTTGAAATTTTGCATTCCTTTTTTATTTCTAAAACAATCAAGCGTTTTGATTATTCTACAGACAACACGGCAGGCATTTCCATTCTTATCTGAGCTGAAGAAGAAATTACTACTGCCCCAAAATGAGGCTGCAGCACAAGCTGGAACCCGATACAATGTGCCGTTAATAAACTCCCTCATCCTGTATGTTGGAATGCAGGTGATGTAGATTGTGGCCTTTCAACTGAAGGTTTATTATGGATAGATTGGTTGGAGTTATGTGGGACCATTTTATGTGTCTTAGTTCTTTTGGTAGCATACATTATGTGATTGAATTTCCTTCTCTTTTTTCTAAATCTTTTGTTACCTATAATTTCATTCAAGATTTGTGTTTATTTACAGACCATCCAGCAATTACCGAAAAAGAACACTCCTGCCCTTGCACAGCAGATGACTTGTAATGGTCCCATGGAATCATATATAATGGGTCCTCTGTTAGCCCTTTTCCAAACGTTAATTGTGGAGCTGGATGCTGAGGGCTGCTATCTTGTCCTTAATGCGATCGCAAATCAGCTACGCCACCCAAGCAGCCACACTCATCTATATTCCTATGCCATGCTATACTTATTCAATGAAGCAAAACAGGTACTTTGAAGATTAATTTTCAGTCTTTGATTGCAAGGTATTGGTTGTAACACAAGTTTTAATAGCATCCAAGAAATATTTGCCCAAAAAGCCCACGAATATTCGCTTCAATGAACACAAGCTCTGTTGCCTCTAACTTTGATGATATATAATATAATATTGTTGCATGCAGGAAACCATTAAGGAGCAGATAACAAGAGTGTTGGTTGAACGCTTGATGGTTAATAAACCTCATCCTTGGGGTGTTAAGATCACGTTTCTTGAGCTCATCAAGGTATTTGAGAGCCACTGCCTACCTTTCCACCCTATTCTCGTCAAGCATGTAGATATATATACATATATATATATATATATATATATATTGGAAAAATTGATATAATGAATTGGAATATGCAGTGCACATTTATTTTATTGGATAGGTGCTCATTTTGATTCTTGCAGAATCCTCAGTACAACTTTTGGAGTCATGCTTTCATCAAGTGTTCGCCAGAGATAGAGAAAATGGTCAAAACAATTTCAATCTAAGCAAGTGGATTCAGAATCCTGTCTACTAGTTTCTTGTGATAACTGAGAACGTGCATTAGTTTCGATCCCCATTGAAATTAGTGTAGAAAAACTGTTTTAAAAATCTTTGAATTTTGAACTTAATGACATTTAGTATTTACGTAACACTAGCAACTTTTCAAGAAAATTTTATTTTCTTTACAAAAAAATCAAGTTTTTTTTTTTTTTTTTTAAAAATTATACAGGGGAGGTAAACTAACATGTCAAAGTTAAATTCGTGCTTAGACAAATATTTCAAAAGATTTGCATTACAGTCGACTTCATGCAATCAAGCATTCCTATTTCGTAGCTGTGATATATACCGCTATAAGATTTTCAAGAACCTTGACCCTCCTCCTAAAGATAAATAAGAACTTCACCCTTCTCCTGTGAGAAAATAAATGACTGTTAGATCATTTTCAATAAAAAACGATATATTGCTTAGTTGACATTAATTATATTTTTCCACGCGATTGTAAATTAATAGATGCTCATCATATTGCTACCTAGCAAACATTATGATAACACACTTCTGACAAGAATCTGATCAACACATTTCAATAACTAGTTAGCCTGCAAAATTGCGAGTATAAACAGCATATTTACCCGAGGTACATGATTTAGTAGGTGGAAATTCATAATCATTAATAAATAATAAAAAAAAGGCAAATTAAAGTAGATAGAACTCATAATTGCTTGTATCCATTCCAGCCAAACAAGCCAATCTGTATCTATTTGCACACCTGCACTTTGCATTTAACGTAGTACTACAACAACTTCACAATCATGTTAGCTTTTTTCATTTCAAAATTAATAGCCAGACTCTCGTCATTGCAACAGAAATTAACCTTTTTTTTCCTTCATTTTATATTTCTTTTTGTGGCGCTTTGGTTATCGCGTTTTGTTTTTATTTGAGATTTTGGAAATTTTAGTTGCTATACATGTAGACAAGAGTAGAGAGGGTTTTAATATTTGGATGAATATGTAATTGTATAACTCAACTCAAATCGATTTGTTTATGGTATCCTCCTACATGCTTTCAATCTGAAGGTACAATTGCATATTCTTCATTCACGTTGATTCTAGAGGGTATATGAAGCGATCGAAATCATAGAGAAAACAAGATTTTTAGACTCAACAAATGTTCAGAGAGAAAACAAGAACATGCATCATCATTGCTTTCATGTGAGATCGAGCAATAAAACAAAAGAATCGCACAGTCCCTGTTGGTTTGATTCAGACGAAGCTAGCTCAAGACTTTGATGGTCAATCAATCTCACGCTGTTTTATAAGGTCTTCAATAAGAAATTAACCATTGACATATTCATATCATCCAAAAGTTAGTGAATTAATTTCTTTTAGTTAGTTAATTCACATATTTATTTTTTATAATTAATTTTCTTTTATGTAAATTTCTAAATAACAAATGTTCGTTGTTTGGTTGTATTCAATTATAAATTTTTTTTCCCTTTCTTTTTATGTTCAAAGAAACTTTTTACGTTTCTCATAATTGCCACACTATAACATTATATACGATAACAATTAGTATTTAAAAAATTAAATATAAATTGGAAAAATATGTCGAGATAACTTACAAGTTGGGCGAGATCAAAGTCGCTGTGGACCTTATGCTTTTGTTCACATTTGCCAAAGGAAGGCTTGTTACCTACTCCCCTTTTTTTAAGTGCCCTCACTGACTTACTCTCTCCGCGGTTCCCCTATTATACATTGACCCTTCCCTGTTTCTTCTTGTGAGAGTTTCTCCTTCTTTCGCTTACTATTTTGTCGTTGTTAGTCGTCGTCTCGGCTGCTGTTGGTCATGGAAAAAAGGCATACAATATGTAAGATCTGCAACAGAAGGTTCGCCAATGGCAAAGCCCTGGGTGGTCACATGAGATCTCACTTTGCTAAACACCCAATTCCTCCTAAACTCACTCTCCCATTTTCTTTCTCAAATCCACCAGAATCCAATTCTTCTTCTGCACTTAGTTGTCCTTCCAGCGAGATTAATCACTCCTATAGATCTGTAAACCACGAAGTTTTTAGCGAAGTTGAATTTTCCAGAAATCCATTTGGGAGAAGATCCAAACGGTTCTTGAACAAGGCGGGTTCATCAAGTTCCATTATCCTCTCTGCACTTCCTGATGAAACTTTATCCGACGAAGATGCTGCAATGTGTCTTTTAATGCTTTCTAGAGATAAGAGAACTTCAAAACAATACAAAAAAGAATTGGATTATGAATATTATGGTGATGATAATGATGGTGAGAATTTGGATGAAGAAGAGAAGAATGATGAGTTGTTTTGCGTCACTAATATCAAATCTCACTCAACTCACCCAAAGTATAAGTGTCAAACATGTAACAAAAGTTTTAAATCTCATCAAGCTTTGGGTGGGCATAGAGCTAGTCACAAAAACAAGCAAGTTATAAGAGCTAAGGCTGATGAAAGAGAAGTGAGTGCTGGTGGTTATCATCAGATTCATCAAAAAAGAATATTTAAGTGCCCGTTTTGTGACAAGATGTTTCAGTCGGGTCAAGCACTGGGTGGGCATCAAAAAGTTCATTTTTCTAACTTACCTGTCGCTCATAGTAAGACAACGTCGTTTACTATTCAATTGGTCGATCTTAATTTACCAGCTTCTGGAGAAGGTGATGATGATGATGATGATGAAGTTAGGCTGGTTGAGAATTCGACAGCATCGAACAATGGAGAAATGTGATCTCTTCCAAGTATGCTCTGATGGATATATGGTAATTAAAAATATTTTTGTTTTTTGAACCAGCAATTAATTAAGAATAGTTAAGATCAAAAGTTATGAAAATATTGTTCGTAAGTGAATTTTTTAATACTTTTTTATAATTATCGGTATATAAATTTTATATATTATTAATGAAATCTATACACTATTAGTGAATTTGATAATGTCACTTAAATAAATTTTTTTAAAAAATATTAATTTTTTATATATTTATTTTAAGGTTAATATTTGTTCATAAATAAAGTAATATCATATGATTCATTGATAATGTATAAAATTTATATGTTGATAATATATCAAATATAAATTTTTTTTTTATAAATACTAATGCTGTTTGGGTACTTAAAAATCTTTTTAAGAAACAGTGGATAATTTATTTGAAGTCCTTTAGGTAACTTTATTTAATTTCTACAGTGTTTTTCTTTATTTTTCTTGTTAGTGTGGTTGAAAGTGAATGACATTCATGAATTTGTAATGTTATTAGGACCACTTAATTCTAGTAAGAAAAAAAATGTTTACAGGTTTATCATATATATATTTTTTAACATTTGGATAAAGAAGACTAAACGTAAGTGTTATATATTTAATTTTGATTTAAGGGTAGAAAAAAAATTAACATTTACATTGATATAAGTGGAATTTTACTTATGTAGAGTATCGATTTATTTACATTAGTGTATTTCATTTCTTTTGAATATTTGGATCAAAATTAAATCCACTAATTTATAGGTTCGTTCAAAGTTGCGTAATTTAAATCTACCAATTTCAAGTAATTTAAAGTTAAAATATAAATATATATAAATGTGTATATATATATGTGTGTGTGTACTATGCTATAATTCAGCTACTTAATCAAAAAATTTTGGGTTATGTTCGCTAATTGAGGATGTGAGTTTGACACTTGAATAATTTTTTTGTAGTCTTTATATTTTCATCAGCTTGATTCATCTTCTGCGTGCTAAGGACAATGCTTATTGCTTAATCATAAGCTTCACGCTTTTACTCTCAATATTCTTATTTCGGGATTCAAAACATAATTCTAGATTTTACATCTAAGTTTGATTCCAAGGGAATTTGTTGATTTTAAAGTAAGAATATAAATTTTTTTAAGTGCCCCTTGATTATATATACGTGTGTGTGGATAAAATTTTTTTTTCTTAAATTTAAAGTCATTTTGAAAAATAAAAGAATTTTATCATGCGGATTATTAGTAAGTGCTAGATTCTTAATTTCAATGAATATGGTTCAAATATTGATAATGTTAAATAAAAAAAATTCTAATTGACTACCTTATTTTTCAAAGTTAAGCCAAAATTTTTTATCATCATGAAAAAATCAATTCTTCAATTCTTACTAATTATACATGTTCCTTTGGTTACCTTAGTTTGAATATTCTTGATAGTTCAAGTACGCACCACATATTGTCCACCATTTTATAAAAATGTGGCTAAAATATTAAAAGAAGTATCTGAATTATTTTATTTTTTAAAAATAAATTTTTATATTTTTATTATACCTGAATAAGTTCTTATCTTTTGAATAATATTCAAGTAAATCCTTAGTTCAAAGGAAAAATTGATTTATGTTAAGGGCTTATTTAGATATAAATTAAAAATTAAAAATTTACTTTGGTGTAATAAAAAAAATAAAACTTTATCTAAATAAAGTGATAAAGTTCAAAATTTTTTTTTATTAATTTAGCCAAAAAAATGTTGGTTTCAAAAACAATATTGAATTTGAAAACGTTAAAAACCTTTTTAGCCTTAAAGAAAGTATTAAAAAATGATCGTACGAAACAATTGAGCTAAAAGCAAATTTTTTATGACGAAAGCCTTTTTTTAACCTTAACATCATCCAAACTCTAAACTAAAATTGATTGGTCAATAAAAACACATAAAGTCATTGAATACGTAATCCTAGATGTTATGGGTGTATTTGGTGTATAAAATTATGATAAGATATGATAAGATGATATTATGATTAGTATTAGATTAAATAATATTATACTATATTATATTTGATATATGCAAATATTATGGTAAAATAATTTATTTATTAATTAAATTTTTTTTAAAGTTTACATAATTTAAATTATTACTATAACTTTTAATTGTATAATAGGACATGTAAGTTTAATCTCATGGATTAAAAATAATTCTCTCTACTTTGAGATGATCGTATCATCCTATGCCAAAAGGATGATTACTTCTCTTTACAATCTTATCCATTTTTTTAGATACAAACTAACTATAATATAAATTGATTATCATCTTATTTTATCAATTATCCTAGACATCAAACATGATTGATATTTCTCTTTTTTACCTTCAAATCTTACATTAATGACTTAGGATTTCTTGCCAAACTTGTCTAAAACTGAAGGATTCTTCTCCATTCCTAATGGTTGAATATATATATATATATATATATGTATGTATGCATGCATGCATGTATGTATATGTATATATAAAAGTTTAACTCATTTTTAACCCTTAGAGAGTTTTATTAAATAGCTCGTAGATATATAATCTAAAACTTGCCAAACTGAGTGCATTGAAGATAATCCAAAACTTGTAAGTAAAAAACCTCTGGTTTTTCACTAGATATTAAATTTTGTTTTGTAGTGAAAGGCTATGAATAAAGAACATTAAACACGATGTATAATGCATATGGCCAGAATTGGGTTTCTTCAAAATTAGTGTTTCTTCACCATGCGATGCGTTTAATTTGAATTAACTTGTAACCCTCATTCATATTTATTCCTCCTTCAAATTAAAGAAATTAATTAATCTTATTAAATTCATTCAAAAATTGGACGTTGAAAACAATTCTCCAGGCTTCAATCAAATTTGAAGTATGTGTAATAAAAAATTAAAAAAATTGGATTGTATACATAATGTTAATAAAATTGATTCAAATAGCCAAGTAGCTAGTATTATTTAATTCAATTCAATATTGTTTTTTTAATTTATGAGTTACAATTAAAATTTAAACTCAAAATCTTTATTTTCGGAGTTCGATTCAATAAGCTTGTTATTTTTGTTTAACATTAATTATATTATTTTCTTAAAAATATTAATTATATTATTATATTATTAGTAGGTTGATTATTGAATATTATAGATAATAAGTTCAATGGGAAAAGGTCATAAACATTCCTTCTTCGTGGAAGCCTTGACGTGATGGAAAATAGTCACGCTCTTCACCTACCTTACTGCACTACTGACATGCACTTCATCAATATTATTTATACTTTTGTTTATTCCTCATCAACATGCTCTCAACTTATGCTTCTAACTACACGTAAACTGATCCTTTAAACCTTGCGTTTCCATTTTCTTTATAAAACCCTATTCTTGATCTCCAATGTCATCTCATCTGGATAAGAGTTTAACAGAAAAATAACATGGAAACCCCTTTGACAAGCCGGCATCACTTTGAGGCAAGAACCCCATCGCCACAGCTACTTCGGAGTAGAAGTGGAACCTCAGCCCTTACTCTACCAGAGAACAGGGCATCGTCGGTGATCAACTCGAGCCAAAGATTGGCTAAAAGGTCAAAGTCGATCACGAGGTCAAGAACCCTAAGAAATGAAGAGAATGTCAACCCCGCAACCTTCATTGCAAGCATGCAAAAGAAGCCTAATCATCAAGAGAGTAGAGATGAGTTTGTTAGGTTCTTGCAGCGTGGCAGTCCAAGCAATTCTAGTGCAACAAAGGGGTCAAAACCCATCACGAGTTCTCCATCAGCATGGGCATTGTCTCCGGGTAGGTCTTCTCCGTTAATGGTGGCACCGGAGCCACAAGGATCATTTGGGACTGGGGTGAGGTCTAAGTCCAAAGATGGTGGTGTAAGTAGGGTTTTAAAGTATTTTAGGCAGAAGAAGGTGTCACCTGTTCAAGAAGAAGAATATCATCGATTTAGACTTTTTTATAATAGAATGTTGCAGTGGAGGTTTGTGAACGCTAGAGCTGAGATTGCCATGGCCGCTGTGAAGATAGATGCGCAGGTATGAACTGTACAATTCACCCCGGCTAGGCTGGCTTAGAGCAAATTCTTAAGGATTTGCTTTATATGCTAACAATTATTGACTATATATGTTCTTAAATGTTAATTGTTTCCACTATTTGCTTTTCAGGATAAATTGTTTGGTGTGTGGCTAAGAATCTTAAAAATAAGAAACTCCACTGTAGAAAAGAAAATACTACTTCAAAAGCTCATACATGAGATCAAACTACATCAAATTGTAGGCCCACAATTTTGTCTACTCAATGAATGGGTGAAGTTGGAGGGGAAAAATTATGAAGCAGTTAGCAGGGTGATTAGAAAACTCTCAGCAATACTGGTTAGAGTCCCTTTGATCCATGATGCTAAGGTATATATATACATACATCTTATTAATTAGATGCCATTGTTCCTTGTTCAATCATTTAACTTTAGCCAACAATAAGAAATTATTCCTTAATTAATTATCCATTCTCACCTATCTAATATATAGCCATACAACTCTAATAAACAAAATTTCGATTTATGGAAAAATTGGATTGCAAGCTTAATGATGAGAAGGAAAATGGTTTTACAACACTTGACAGGCAGATGTGGAGTCTATCTATGAAGCCATAGGTGCAGCCATTGCAGTAATGGATGGCATAGAAGCGACAATTATAAAGATCTTCTCACAGGTTCGCTTATAAAACTGTAGGGTACTAATTGGCAGTTTTATGTATTTACATTTCCATCTTTAATTTGTTCTGTTGTACTTATGTCAGTAGCCGGCGGAGAAAATGCTTTGTCTGGTTACTAAACTCATAAGCATGGTGGAACAAGAAAAGGAGTGTTTGGAAGAAATGGAGAAAGTTATCGCTTTGGTTCCTTCACAAGTACTGGTGAGCTAATAAATTACCAACTCATTACCCTCGATTTGATAATTATTTACATTCAAAATTACCAAATGATGATTAAAGCAAAAGTAGATAAAAATATAGAAACAAATATATTTATTTTTATGATGCATTTGGAGAGAGGTTTAGACCTATGATTAGATTTGATAATTTCAAACAAGATATAGTGATATGATAAAAGATATATACAAATAAAAAACATGAAAATAATATAATTTAAAATTTTAATAAAAATTATAAATATATTTAATAAAATAAAAAATAAAATTTATATTTTCATGTTGATAAAAACAATAATACATAATTTTCATATAAAATATAATCTAAATATACAAATTTTTTATATTTTATATAATATAAATATACTAATTATCATAGCTACGGTGTTATGTGGTGATCCCTATTCAAAAGAGAAAATAGAGTTTGACAAGTTAGAAGAGCTTTTCAATTTCAGCCCTTAGTTGCTAATAGGAAGTTGGACTATATGCACGTTAGCTTAATGGTTGCAAACAAATGGGCCTCAACCCATGTCTGTATCAATTTTGAACTAGGTAGCCGACATATAATGGGCCTTGTTGGAGTTGGAGGCACCAGATTAATAACGCATAACCCAAGTCTGGCAGTCCATTCAAATTGCTAAGGAGAAAGGATTAGGCCCTGGAAAGTTTGAAAATAAAAAAATTGAGATCCAAACTTGTGCAACTTTGATTCTTATCATTGAATATATATATTGATTCATTCCTAACATTTGATTTATGTATTTGCAAATCTTTCCTAATCAGGTGTCTGAGCAGAGTCTACGTGCACATCTCATACAAGCAGCTAAGGAGTCATGGAGAGGTCAAACTGACTGAAATGGTCGTTTTTGTAAAAGAAAATAATCGAAAGGCAAAGACGTAGACGCTTACTTGTTTCACATTTTGAGGTTGGAATTTGCCGTTTTCCAATCTAATATCCTGGAATCATAAGCATGGGCCAAATTTTGAGTTCATTTTGAATTCATTTTATGTATGGGTCCTTGATATCATTAACACTCTTCAAACATAAGTAGCAATATCAATGTCATATAATAATTCAAATATAACATCAAAGAAATTAGAGCAAGAACACTTGAAAATTCCATTGAAAGGTAAAAAAAGGAAGAAAATCACTTCTCCTATACCAATCCCCCCCACCGTTTTAAATATAACAAAAAACAAACTCGTAAAATTAATCATATATATTAACATTCCACTGTAGCCTTTTGTGCTATATCATCGAAAGTACCATCAACACCAACACGAACCCCATTGCCTTCGTTCACAACACTCTCGGCTAATTTCCTCTTGGGCTTGGCTTCTTGCAGCATCAACACAACATCCCTCATCGACGGCCGGTCCGCCGGGTTCCTGCTGGTGCATAACAATGCGATTCTAAGCATTTGCATCATTTCTTCCCTCACTGGTGCACATGATGCCCCGGCATTTTTATCCAAAATGTCAATAATACCGTCTTTACTCTTAATTTTAGACCTTACCCAATCCACAATGCTGTTCCCATCACCAAATTCCGAATCCACGGATCTTTTTCCACTTAAAATCTCCATTAAAACTACCCCAAAGCTATAGATATCACTCTTTTCATCAACTTGTAGAGTATATGCATATTCTGCAAAAACCAAATACATAGCGTTAAAATGATTACTGCAACCCATAAACAAACATGGCCATAACTGAGCACTAAAAGTCAAACATGTGATGCAATCAAAGGCTTTGACAAAATTCGCTCTGGGACCCATTATTATATAAATTACAAGGATTTAAAATCAAAGAGAAACTGTTTGAAAAAAAAAAAACGAAAAAGGTAAACTGCAGAAAAAGCAAACAGTCGTCACGCGCAATAGTGCGCCACCAGCCGTTCAACAGTTACAAAAAACCGCGCGGTGCCAAAAGAAGCAAAACCGAAAAGGACTTTGGGTTGGTTGCTGTGCGCACCGCGAACCACAGATGTGCCAGTGGAGTCTACTATTAATTAAGGCTTGAAATTGGTTTAAGAGCAATTAAAAACAGAAAAAAAATTATTGTAGTAATGATTGAAAAAAAAATTATAATAAAAAATAATAAAATTTTATTATGCATAAATTTTATTTAAATTGATATTTAAATTTAATTAATGATATAATAAATTCAATAACATCGTATTAAAAATTACAATGAAATCTAAACCTAATGTAAATTTACGTCTTAAATGGAAAACTAGCAATCGATCATTTTTCCAGGAAAGCATAAAACATCTGTGTTTGTTCTTGGACGGCAAAAGTGTGTTGTCAAGTGTTCACAAAAAAAAAAGAAAAAAAAGAAAGCAAATCAAAGGGGAGATGCACTGAAGATATCAGAGAAAGAAAAGTGAGATTAATCCTGCCCTTTAGGACCGAAAATAAAATAGTACTAAGTGCTAACATGACAAGTGTGTCAATGTCAATTTTAACCCTAGTCATGTGACTAATGGAATCACTAAACTATAAGTTGTCAAATCATCCAGAGGTCAATGATAAATTCATAATCTTTTAAAGGCATTAACAGATCTTAATTAATATTCTTTAGATTAAAACTTTGATTATGGTTGATCAAGAAGTAAATTATACATTGTTATTTGTGATGGATGGACCCATTTTTGTGGTAAATAGACAAAAGGGAAGAATATAATAGATTCACCAGCCTAGCTAAAAAGTTGGCATTGTCCTTGAGGAGGCTTAAACAAATCAAATTTGTTCCAGATTTTTAATGCACACACAATCAAAAGTTTACCAAACTAACAAACAAAATTCATATATACCAACCAGTGGGATTATAAACCTTGCTAACGTTAGTTTGGTTTGGAAAACGCACCTGGAGCAATGTAGCCATAGGACCCAGCAATGACCGACATGGACTCATCACTCTGGATCAACTTTGCTACCCCAAAATCCGCCACTCTGGCCTCCATCTCACCATCCAATAGAATATTACTGGGCTTGAGGTCACGGTGGACGATAACTGGATCACAGTCATGGTGAAGATAACAAATGCCTTGAGCCACGCCAAGAGCAATTTTGTATCTAGTCACCCAATCAGCCACCAAATTCTCCCCCTTGTTCTTGCCATGCAACAAGTCATCCAAGTTCCCGTTTGGCATGTACTCGTAAAGCAGCATCGTGCACTCCCTGTTGCAGCAACATCCTAACAATCTCACTATGTTACGATGCCTGACGTTCCCCAACACGTCCACCTCCGCCAACACCCCTCTTCTCCGTCTGATGTTCTCTTTATGCTTACCCCACAACTTCTTCACCGCTATGATCTCGCCACCTGGCATCTCAGCTTTGTACACTGTCCCCGCGGACCCCATCCCTATAATCTTATCCGTCATCGACAGGCATTCTAGCACATCATCAGCCGTGAAATTCAACCGCTGGAAGGCTGTCAATTTCCACGGTCCGATCGCACGATCATCACTGAACCTACGGCTGTAATTCGCGTGGAAACAACGGGTCCCAGCCACGAGAACAAACAAACCAATACCAAAAGCAGCTGCCATAATCCAAACGATAGCCCCAGGCGTTTTGTTTGGCTGCTGCTGCTTACCAACTTCCATGTCACCTGTAGCTAACGCCTCAGCCGGGCACGGTTTCCCTAAAATTCTGCTGCAAAGTCCGTCGTTTCCAGAAAATGAGGAAGGATGTAAATTAGGAAACATTGGACCGGACGATGGGATTGGCCCGGTTAGTAAATTGTAGGAAACATTGAAATTTTCCAAAGTGCTACAATTTTCGAAGTTTGAAGGTATGGTTCCAGTGAGCATATTATGGGAAAGATCAACGGCAGTTATTGAAGGAAGCGTCGATATTTCCCATGGAATTATTCCAGTAAACAAATTGCTGCTTAAATTCAAAGACAAGAGCTTTTCACAATGATCAATGTCCCAAGGGATGCTTCCGTTTAGAAAATTACCTTGGAGTTCGATTTTGTACACGTTTTTACAGCCGATGAAATCTGGGATTTTGCCATTGAGCTTGGCCGAACTCGCTGAGAAAATTTGCAGCCTTGGTGCGCCCCAAATATTGCTTGGCAATGCGGTGTTGAAAGAGTTCTCCGAGATGTTAAGGAACTGTAAGGTTGGTCCATAGCCAAGATCGTGAGGAATCTCGCCTGTGAAATTGTTCCTACTCACGTCCACAAATGTTAAGTTTGTTAGAAGTCCGAAGCCACTTGGGATGGTACCATTTAGAAGATTGTTTTGGATTCGGAATCTTGAAAGAGATGTGCAGTTTACAAGGCTTCCTGGAAGCTCATGCGTGAACATGTTGTTAAAAAGGATGAGTTTGAAAAGCCTGTTTCCATCGCAAAGATTTGGAGGGATTGGACCAGTGAGAGAGTTTGATGAGACATCAAGAGACAGTAACTTCCCATTTGAACCTAGTTTCTGTGGGAGAATGCCGCTAAGGTTGTTGTTCCAGAGAAGTAAAGTGCTGAGATTTGGCAACTCACCGATGCCTTCTGGGATTGTACCAGAAAGGTTGTTGCCAATTAAGCTCAACCAAGTTAGCTCTGTTAATGAAGTTAACCCTTCTGGGATTGTGCCACTGAGTAGGTTATCGGATAAATCAAGAACCTTGAGAGCTTTCAACTTTGAGTAAGTGACCGGGATTTCACCTGTAAAGCTGTTCTTGAAAAAGTACAAAGCTTCTAGCTTGGTTAAGTTGCCAAGTTCTTCCGGAAGTAGACCTGAAAGAGTACAATTTGAGATGTCCAAGTACTTGAGATTGGATAACAGTGCAAATTCTACTGGTACTGTGCCTGAGAAAGCATTGTAGCCAATCTCTATGCGCTCAAGCTGGGTCAAGAATCCTAGTTGAGGTGGTAAAGCGCCTTCCAGTTCATTACCTGCCAAGTCAAGCAACTTTAATCTGGTAAAGCTTCCATAACCAACTGGTATTTCACCTTCAAAGTAACTTCCCCCAAGATTGAGCTGCTCCAAGAACCGTAAGCGTATAAACTCTTGCGGTAATGGCCCCCTGAAATTGTTGCTGTATGCATTAAAGATTTTCAAAAACTTGAGCTTGGAAACCCCCGGCGGGAATGTTGAATTGAAGGAGTTGTGGCTTATATCAAGAATTCTAAGCTGTCTTAGTTCAAAAATGGTTGGTTGGAGAGGCCCATCAAAGTAATTTCCACTCAAATTCAAGTTGACTAAGTGTGTCAAATATCTAATTTCCGCTGGAATAATACCAGAGAGATTGTGACGAGAGAGATCAAGAGATGTGACCTGAGCTGTTTTACGATTGCATTTGATACCTGACCATGCACACCAAACCGCGTCTTTAGGCTTGGAAAACGTTGGAGTAGGTTCCCAATCTTTGAATGTGGAAAGAGGGTCTTTGAGGGAGGATTTTAAGGAAAGAAGAGAGATCAGAGAGAGCGAAGCTGCAGAAGCAGAGAAGACTAAGACAGATGATTTTAGTAGATAGAAGGAGAATGCGAGAAAGAGAAGAAAAGGAGGTTTCATGGTTATGGGGAAGTGGGGAATCCGGTTGAGAGAAGCTTGGTCTTTACAGAGGTAAATTTAAGGGAAGGGAGGGTTTGCTGGAGAGAGATGCTTCTTGAGAGTGCTGGGTTCAGAGGGTGTTTCATCATTAAGCTTATTTTTTGTTTCAGTGGTTTTTTTTTTTTTCTTTTCTTTTCTTGGTGGGTAAAGGCTAACGGGAAAGAAAGAGAAAGAAACTAACTACTATACAACTTCCTTGTATAATCCTCTGACCCTGCTACTGCTATTCCTCTTTATTTGCAATCTCTTTCTCTTTCTTTTTCAGTATTTTTGCTTTGTCTGCTATCCATCT